AATTCGACTCAGAATACACAGTACAAACAAACTGACAATGTATTTCTACCAGTACTGCGCTTCAAACAAGGAACCATCCGATTTTTTTACCTCAATTTAACATTTCCTTCGACATCCCTCACCAAACGGATCAACTGACTTGTTATTTGTGATTTCAAAACTTAGCAACATATTACAATATCTAACTGCACAATTCTTCTACGGGTTTTAACGCCTGCCCCGGACGACAGTTACACGATTGGTTCCTGTGTCAATTTGATTTTCATTTGGGACTGGAGTGATTCCGGAAAATGCTAGATCAACCCTATCAGTCTGGTACTTCTCCACCAACGAAGTAGGATACAATGCTAAGAGGCCATGCACATGATGAAGAAAACGCAACACATCTAGCGTGCTACTAAAGAAAATGAGGAAAAGAAGTAGGTGAGTGAAATGAGACATCAAGCTGGCCATTAGCTGATGCATATTCGCTCACAGAGCGGTACGCCCGAGTCGGCAGTGGATCATTATAAAGCCATTTGAAGAACCTGTAGGCTGCTTCCGGTTCGCTGTCGAATGCAACGAGAAAAGAAAATACTGGCACATGACGGAGGCCATCCAATTTTGCAGTATAAATACAATCAAAAAAAAAACTACGACTGAATAACTCCCACACTCAGTGCGAGGAAATCACGTTAGTATCCGTTTAATTTTTTCTTTAATATTACCTTGCGTATTAAAAAATTATTTATGCGCTATTCCCTTTTAACAAACTTTTCCTTCTGAAATAATACTGATTGAACGCTTATTACCGGTAAGCCCCCATACACCAAGCGCAGCTAAGCCAGTTTCATCAATCTCGCGTTTTTTAACAGCGACAGCCTTTTTTTTCAAGATATGTGTGCTACCCCTTCGAAGGCCACTAAAGTGGTTGCTTTTATTTCCTCGCGATTGCTCAAGCGTAGACCAGGCAAGCAACATACTCTGCTCATTGGATTTTATTTTTTCGCAACAATATCCCGCATGCCGGTCATTTTACAAAAGTCTCACTGCAACATAATAAACAGATGATAAAAACTGACCTGCCATGTACGCATCAGTTCTTTGATTTTTTGCTCGAATTCGGCGCTATTTTCATGGCCCTCGTCAATAAGCTCACGTCCATTGCGGCAGATCTGCTCAATCCACGGCTCGTGATTTTCAATCTCATTTCTCAACGACTGCATTTTCTTTTGCAAACGATGACAATCAAATAAACTTTCGCCCAGCTCATGGGCCTGCGTTAATGGCAGGCGCTCTGAAATAACACACAACAACCGAAAAGTTTCCCAACAAAACAAAGTTTTTTTGAATGCCGAAATGATACTGGTGAAATTTCAGATTTTTTACCTGCACACCACAATTTCTCATCCTC